GAAGGGAGGGAAGAAGGAAGGAGAGGACAGGAGGAAGGAAGGAGAGAAAGGAGGGAAGAAGGAAGGGAAAGGAGAGGTGGAAGGAAGGGAGAGAAAGAGAAGGAGAGATAGTAGGAAAGGAAGAGTGGAGGAGAGGTAAGGGAAGAAGAAAGAGATAAGGAAAGGTGGATGGAAGGAAGGGAGAGAAAGAGAAGGAGAGATAGTAGGAAAGGAAGAGTGGAGGAGAGGTAAGGGAAGAAGAAAGAGATAAGGAAAGGTGGATGGAAGGAAGGGAGAGAAAGAGAAGAAGAGGAGGGAGGAAGGGAGAAAAAGAGAAGGAGAGAGGAAATGCCTTAAATATGAAGGCAGAAGCCAAACAAGCATGTGACTTTGAAAGAAAGTGTGGTGAGAATCTGTAAAAAAAATGGAATATGCAGGACAAAAGTGATGCAAGTTTTGGTATAAGCCTAACAAAATTTTCTTTTGGGGGGGGATTGGTTGGCTCTGGGATCTCCTGCAAACGGGGCATGTTTGATAGTTGAGAAAAACAGAAGGTGGTATGTCAGGCAGCCTAAACAGAATTGTAGAGAATCTGCAGAAATGCAGACTAATTCCAGATGCAATTTACTTTTCAGTATAAGTGAGAAAAATGGTAAAGCAATTTGAACTGCGCAGAACTCTCAGATGTAAGCCAGAGTCCAACAACCTGCGCATAGCTTAGCAAATTGTGTTACTCCAGCTCCTGTGATTGATTTAATCTTTAAGGAAACATAGCTTAGCCTCCTGATGTGAACGCAGCCATTAGTAAAAAATCCAGCTGATGGCAAACAATATGCTATGAAGCACAAAAGTTCTCTCTCAGTCTTCAAAGGGTCCTTATCCTCTTCTCATGTAGATGGCCAAGGCTGGCTTCATCCATCATCCACATCCAGGGGAACCTGAGGTGGCCAAGTGCTTCTTCTGCCTGATAGAATTAGAGGGCTGGGAGTCCAATCATGATCCCTGGTATGTATGGTCCGATTGCTGATTTTCTGCCTTGAGGCAGCTCAGATTAAGAATGTTGTTGTCTGTGCATTTGTGGAGGTGGTTAGAAAACCATTTCTTGGCTGGAGCAGAATTACTCTCCCCAAATTCTCATAGGCATCTCCCCACTTTTAATGGAATTTCATACTGTTTTTTTAGCTCCCACTGAGGAAACAATTCAACCAAGCTAAACAATACAGCCAAAGGACGAACAGAGGTAGATGCAAGCATTTCATATTGGCTCATCAGTACCTACATTACAGAAACACAGTTAAAATCAGCCTCAAATATAAAATCTAGCAGGAGCATTATTTCGTGACCCGTCAAAACCGCGGTAGACAAAAGCGCGCTCGACGAAAGCNCTGGTCATTTTTTTAAAAAGTATTTTATTGGTGTTTTTTTTTGATGTTTTAATGTTTATTTTATTTAACATTTTTAAAAATATTTTAAAGCAGACTTGATTTTTGAATTAGTGTTTTTTTAACTCTAAATACTATGAGATTTACCTTTAAGAGGGAAAAGTGTTGTAGTGATTTCGATAGATTAAACTATCCTTGTTTATTTATAGTTTATCCATCTTTTCTACCAACTTCTAAAGGTTGGTTAACAGGTGACATCAATTGAGAGAGCTAAGGAAACACCTTAAATATGAAGCCAGAAGCCCTACAAGCATGTGACTTTGAAAGACAGTGTGGTGAGAATCACAGTTTGCAACTTCCGTAGCCTTCATGGAGGCTTTCCTGAGAGAAATCACTTCAACTTCCAAGAACCTACTTGAATTCAGAGAAATGTATGACTATAGAAATCGCCTGCAGACTTTAACTGCATGGCCTTTTAAGGACAACTGCAAATGTACTCCTGAGAATGTAAGTCTACAAGTTCTGGGAAATCTTTGAAAAGGGCCAGCATATCTTTTTTTTTTCCCCTTCAATGATGCATATTCATTCAAAGTAGAGTTCAACCAGGCTTTCTCTGTATAAATATGGTCTTACCTTGAATAATACTTTCAGCTGTTTTTACAAATCGGGGTTTTCCTCCCTTCCTGGGAAGGGGGATATACGTTATGCTTTAGTAAACCTCCAAAAGGAAAAAGCTTGCTGCTAAATCATTCCTTGTGGTGGTGGTGGTGTTTAACATTTCAGAAGAGGAAAGAGAAAAAAGTCTACTCCCTCCATCCCAGTTCTGCAAGCTTTGTTTCTCAATTATATTACAAACCCCTCTCATATTTAAAAGAAGCCCAGACTGGCTCCCCTATATTTTTCTAGAAATTGTAAGGGAAAGCTTTTGTAGGTATATCTTTAAGCTGGGGAAAACTCTTGCTACTATCAGCTTAGGAATTCTCTCCTAGGAAAGTTCCAGTTGAGGGACTAGTTCACTTCCACATTCTCTTTAAAACCTGCTCTTCTTCCTTGGCTCTGAGTTGTCTTTCCTTTGGTAAAGCTAAGATGTCTGAGAGAGTTAAGGAAATGCCTTAAGAAGAAAGAGAGAGAGCAGAGAAGGAACACAAGAGGGAGAAGTCAGATACAAACCAGAAGTAAAAAAAACCAACCCCAGTTAAAGATGGATCAAGAAACAACAATTATCTCGATAAATTTGAATGGACTGAATGCACACAAAAAAAGAGCCCAGATGTTTAATAAAATAAGAAGGTTAAGAATGGTGAAATCAATTCAGAAGGATAGCTGGCATATAGAGTATAGAATGAAAGAGAATAAAGGAAATGATATGAAAATTATATGGGTTTGTGGAAATACCATCCCCAAGAAAACATAAATTGAGATAATTATTGTTTCTTGATCCATCTTTAACTGGGGTTGTTTTTTTTTACTTCTGGTTTGTATCTGACTTTTCC